TTGTGCTTGCTGACCAACAGTGGATTCCAGTTAAACAATACCTCAATTTTAAAATTCAAATTCATGTTTTCAATACCTACCATCACACCACTTCCAATCTGTGTTACCTTCTCCAGTCATTGTTATGCCTCCCTGGGGTAACATACTGGAAACCAAGCCTAGCTATTCCTGGAATCTTCACAAAAGTTAAAGATTTTTTAAAAATTGCAATTTTCCCAATTTGTCTGCCTTGTAAACCTAGGTTGACATAAAGCACAGACCAGCTTTCTACACTTAACAAGAATTACTATTTGTTACAAGTAAATAGACTCTAACCAATGATAAACAATTATGAACCATCGATATATAACTACTGGTTAAAACTTAATCCACTTATAAAAATGCACCTCTACAGATATACAGACAAAAATTGAATGTTATGGGCAGAGAGAGACTGGGAAGGCAGGTATAGTCCCCCTTCACATGGTTTGCTGAGATGATCCTTTTACTGATCAGAGAGTGATTACTTGATCTTCCTTCTCCAGATACTTTCACTTGTTTACAGGAGGCACAGGGTGACTGTTTCACACTTAAGGGTCACTGACTTATTAATTAAGAGTCACAACTTACAGCAACTGATAAGGGAAGGTAAATTAACTAACTTCTAGATTGAGATGCTTTTTATTCCACTGCAGAGCAGAATATAGCTCCTTCCTTTCTAGAGATCTGACTGCATCTCCCAAACATTGACACCCCAAGCTGTTCAACCAATTAAATAGTTGTTGACAGACAGGAGACTAACTGGTCACTAGTCCACAAACCAATGAGCTATTTGTTGCCAGTCAAATCTCCATTTGTACATAGCCTCCTGGCTCCAGTTCATCTGTAACCTGACTTCCACTACTGCTCGAACAAATAGCTGTTTAAACAGCACTTAAAAATGAGTGCCTGATTACTTGATTTTAAAAATGCAACAATCCTTCAGCAACCTTTGATTTTTTTTTATAAAACAGTTCCTTTCCCATTTTCTGCAATCAAAAATAAAGAGAAATAAAAGGCCTTTGCGCTCTACAATCCTCCAAGATTGCTGCACTCCAACACTTCAGCTTCTTGTACACTCTTGATTTTTAACTGCTTTACCATTCATGACCATGCCTTCAGTTCCCAAAGCCCTAAGCTCTATTACTTTCCACCCTGAACCTCTTTCCACTCCGACCCTTTAGTTCACTGTGCTCCTTAAAAACTACAACTTTGATCAAATTTTTAACCTCTCCTTATGAAGCTCAGAGACAGATTTTGTCTGAATTTAAGGTCCAAGATCCAATGATTTGATGAAATCGACTTGCAGATTGACTGACTAGAGAATAGAGAACCTCCAAGCTAATGTCCAGTTATAGAAGGCATGTGGGCCCAGGAGCTCTTTGTGGAGCAGAACATTGCTGCTGTTCTGTACAGACAGTTCCATGATAAACAAGGGACTGTGTATGCATCAAGACCATAAGAAATGGGAACAGGAGGAGGCTGTTTGGTGCCATTCTAGAGGATCTTGGCTGATCTGATTCCTCATGTCCACTTTCCTGCCGTTTCCAGGTAATCTTTTGTTGCCCTATTGATCAAGAGTCAATCATGCACTAGGAATCATTTCAAAGCAAACATAAGCACAAATCTCACTTTTTCCATTCCACTCTGTAATTGAGAGCAGCTAGATTAACAGATTGAGAAGGTTAGTGATCCTAATGGCTCAAAGTTGACAAACTCTATAAACATGAAGAGTATGCTAGTCAAGACTGATCCTGTCTTCACGTAAATGCACTTAACCAGAGTTTGGTTGTTAATTAGGGGAGATTTGGTTAATCTCTGCCCTACCCATTTCCAGGCTATTTGTGGAGTCTTGTGTCTCCAAATACTACTGTCCTAGCTTAAGGTCAGCTGTCCAGTTCTGAAACAAAGGCTTTATTCAGGTTAAGTGTAATTCGTTGCCACACCAGACTTCACATGCTGATTTGAGGAGATTGTTGCACCACTGCTCTGATTTTCCTGAGATCAATCAATGAAACGGACAGTTTTCACCAGCAAATCTACTTATATGGATCATTCTGCAAGGAAAATGATGAACTAATGAATGGTTTAAGAACAAAGCACCATTCTGACGTATTAGAATCTGTACAAATGCCTGCTGACCAGAACAACTGCACAATGTGTTTCATGTTGAAGTTATTCAGTAATGTGCATGTGTACTTTTTCCCCAAAATGCAATAGTCCAGATTTTGTTGTTAAGACCATGAGACTACTGGCGACCAAAATTATTTCAGCATAAATGGTACAGTTGTTTCAGACAATGGAGACAGATGACAATATCTAATGGTTTCTGTTTGAAATGTTGTCATCTTCACATCATTGAAGTGCACAGAATTGCACCAAGCTCTGTTTTTGCATGGTTGGTAGAACTAAACTTGCCAGAGACTAAGTCTTGTTATCTTGAGTGGAAGTACCCTTTTAACAAGATGTACTCATTGCTGCAACTGGCACTGAGCATTAATTATTAAAAGGGTGAAGTTCCTTTCATTCAGGTGTTCATTTCTAGAAATATCACAGAATAGTATAGCACAGCAGGCCATTTTGAGCTATTCCGTAAGTCAGCATTGACTCTTTCAAAGAGCAGTCCAATTTGTTCCAATCCACTACACTTTTTCAGCCTATCTCTGCAAGTTCTTACGCTTTAAGTATTTATCCGGTTCCTTTTTGAAGTTATATTGGAATCTGTGTCCTTTAAAGAGCAATGCATTCCAAATCCTAATCCAAAATCATTGAACAGAAATAGTTTTTCTTATGTAAACTGTTTTGTTTTCCAATCTTCTTAAAATCTGTTCCTTGTGGTTATTGATCTTCAGAAGAAACAATTTGTCTTAATTTATTCTATCACAGAATGATGGCATTGTGAACTTATTGAAAACTATGGAGTAGGCACGGCATCTCCATTGCAATGGAGGTTTGTCTTCCGAACATCCTTACGTGGCCGGTAACACTATGCAGTTGAGAAAGCTGGACCATGATGTGTGAACTGGCTTCAATAACAGCATTTGAGATGAAAGGGCTATTTGCATGTGTCATGGGCAGAAAACTGAACAGGTTCCTCAGAAAGCTGGTCTTAAAAGAAATTTGCTTCAGATAGTGATGTCAGGAGAAGGCAGATGGTTTTGGGCATCTGATGCAAGCAGGAGGGAAGTGCTTTAAGAAACAAATTATGCAAGGTGCAACACCTGGTAATGTACACAAGGAAAACTCAAAATGACATGGGTGCACAATATCAAAATGTGGACTGTCCTTTCTATGTGAGAGATAGCAGAGAATAGAACTCAGTGGAAAAAGATTGTTCATAGCATGGCCAACC